CTGTCCCCATTTTCAAACAAAAAAAAACCAAAAAAGTAGTGACTGCCAAGAAGCAAAATTATAAATGACAGTAAAGAAAGAAAACTTTAAAAGTATGACTCAACATTAAAAAAAAAAGAGAGAGAGAACAAGTAGAAGTTTTATGTTTTGTTTTTTGTGTGATCAAAGGAGTTATGTTTCCTAAGCATTCCCTCATACGTCATTGTATCAAAGCAGACCTTCGCTGAAGCTCATGCTTTAGTGACCTTGGCACATCTTTAAAAGGCTATGGTAGTTTAAAAATAGAAGGCAAGGCAATTTAGACTAAAAATCTTTCTTAAGTTCTGACATTTAAAAGGTATGTGCCAATCAATTATCTGAAAATAAAATTCATGTATATTAAGCACCTCTTTCTACAATGATGTTAGATGAACATGTAATAACAGAGGTCTACCCCATTACATTGTGTACACACACACACACACACACACACACACACACACACACACAATGTGTCAAGAGAAGGGATAACTACTTAGGAAGTCTGGAGGAAGTATCAATAGCATTAGAGCCAGAGTTCAAAAGAAGAAAATAGAAGTTTGCCAGGCATCAAATAGGATGGAAAGAGAGCACACTATGAAAAACATGAACAAGTACAGACTGTGTTCATGTTTTTAATGACCTAGACAATCTTTAAAAGGCTGTGACAGTTTAAGTACAGAAGGCAAGGCAATTTGCCTAAAAACATTATTTCAAACATTTTATTGAGGTATGTGCCAAGCCCTAGGATACACAGATTACCACAATAGTCTGTTACCCTCCAGAAGTGAAAATCCAGCGGGCAAAAGTCATTAAAATGTAATTATAACACCTCATGGCGTTACAGAACAGTAGTTGAGATATCATATAGTATGAAGGCAGTTCAGCCTGGTGGCCAATTGATCTTAGGGCGATTAGAAAAGGTTTTCTGAAGAAAGTGCAATTTAGTTTAAATCTTAAAGGAAGAGAAGGAATAAAGCTGAGCACAGAGAAAGCAGAAGGGCAACAATAAAAGTCACAGGGCTGTAAGAGGCCATTCCAAGCAGTCTGGAACTTAGCACACAAACAAGAAGCTGATCATTTGTCGTTTAGTAAGATAACTCAGGTGACAATATGACAGCTGTGCTATGAAAGGAGATATGGACAGGGAGAACAGAGCTCACACAAAAAATGATGTAAGGATCAAATGACATGAGTTTACTAAGTGAACAAATGAAGAGATAAGGGAGGTAAATTTACAAACATTAATCTGAAGATCTATGAGATAGTCAGATGGCTATATCCAGAAGGCAGTTGTAAATACAGATCCCAAGTGCGTTTTCTAACTCAGCAACTTTGGAAGAGAAAGGAATAGACAAGTTTAATATGATGTGGGTGTGGGTCAGCCAAGTGATGATGACCAACAGGCAGATGAAAACACAAGTTGAGAATGAAGATGGAAATCTGGGACTCATCAGTATATACAGGCAGCAGCTGAGGCCAAGGCACAGACGGGAGATCCCCCAGGGAGACCATAAGTCAAAAATGTTACTTAGGAAATAATAAAGCTAATATTAACTTTACACTATGGTTCATTTAGTTCTCACAGCCACCTATGCAGGTAGGCAGGTACTAATAAATACCCCATTTTATAGGTGGTTAAGTAATTCCCCCAATAACAATTCAAGATGTAATCTATGGCCACTATCAAGGAAAATTTAAGAAGGACCAAAAAATGGAGGCCCCAACCAGGTAACTCAGTTGGTTATAGCATTGTCCCGATACTCTTAAGGTTGCAGGTTCAATCTCTGGTCAGAGCACATACAAGAAGCATCTAATAAATGCATGAATAAATGGAACAACAAATCCAAGTTTTTTCTCTTCTCTTCTCTTCCTCTCTCTCTCTCTCTCTCTCTCTCTCTCTCTCTCTCTCTCTCTCTCTCTCTTTCCCTTTCTCCCTTTCTCCCTTTCTCCCTTTCTCCCTTTCTCCTTCCCTTCTATCCTCTCTCTAAAATCAATAAATATTTTAGCCCTAACCAGTTTGGCTCAGTGGATAGAGGGTTGGCCTGCGAACTGAAGGGTCCCAGGTTCGATTCCCGTCATGGGCATGTACATGTGGGGAGTGTACAGGAGAAAGCTGATTGATGTTTCTCACTCTCTATCCTTCTTCCTCTCAATAAATGTATTAAAAAGCAAAATCAATAAATATTTTAAATGGAGAAAAAAAGAGATGGTAATATTTCACAATTTAGGGACAATAATAGCTGTGATTTACTTCTACAGCTAGTTTCAGGAAGGACAAAGAAATGTATTGGACTGGGTTGCAAAATGAGCTGAGGAAGTGAAAACACTGATCATAAGACTACTCTTGCAAGAGATCCAGCAATGAAGACACCAGGCAACAATTTTCACTAAGATAATAACACTCACTGAGCTTGACACCAGGTCCAATACAACACATATCTCATTTAACATTTCCATTTTAAAAGACACAAAAGATTTAGAAATGCCATGAAACTTGTTCAAAGTCACAAAGCCAGTAAGTAGCAGTGGAAACATTTATATCCAAGATGACATAAAGCTGATCAGATAACTATTTTAAAATACAGCACACTGATTAAACAATTATCTCTTAAGAATCTAATCTATGCATTGGTTTTGTAATATTCAGTTTAATAGCATCTAATTTGGCTTAATAAAGTGTTAACAATCTGCTGTTGATTCCACTTAATGTAGTTTTCATTTCAGTTATTGTATTCATTTCTGATCGTCTTTTTTAAAAAATTAAAAAAAGTATTAAAATTCAGCTGAGTAAATCTGAAGATCTAATTGTTTTTATTGAGCGATTCAATCGGGCAGCATCTCATTAGCAACTAGAAGGGTACTCTGATAAGTTGTACTAAGAAGTTAAGAGTGGATTATTTCAGGCAAGGATACCTTCCTGTAGGGGAAGGAAGGGGTCTTATCAGGTAGAATAAGATGATATCTCTGGGAGAGATCAAAACTGCAGTCAGATCAGGTATTAAATCTAGATTTGGGATCAGGGGCTTTCAGCAAAAATGTTGCCATATCGGACTGGTGGTTTTCTGTTTAACAAAAGCCAAAACAAAAAGAATTGATTTGAGAAACAAATGAACCAAGTTAAAAGTTAAGTGCCAACTTTAGCCTGCCTATAGTGTTCCTATAAATAAAGCTTGCAAAAGAACCTATATAAATCAATAAAACAAATAAATATTGAGCACCTACTCTCAGCGTAGAACTTTGCTATGTCACACCCGGCTTCAGTGGGGGAAGGAGTGTGGGACAGAGGGGAGAAACAATTGTGGGATAAATTTACAATCCAAAACATAGATTTGCTCAATGCAATTCCATAATATTTACATATCAAAGAATTAGGTCACTAAGTCAATTAGCAAATCTAAAGAACATCTGAATGGTGACCATATTTACTAATCTTATGGGATAAATTCCAAAAGTAAGTTTATTAAAAGCATTTTCCACTTCCTTTCCAAAGGGAACTGGCACTCTACCCTACTTAATTATTTCCTATTTAAAAGTTCCTTCCTCTATATGTACACAGATAATAATTTAATTTAAAAAAAAAAAAGTTCCTTCCTCTGTCCTCCAACTCATTCATTCATTCTCTGTGCCAGGTGCTGGGCCAGACTCTAGAAAATGAAGACATAAATAAGATGGACTAGTTAGCGTTCATGAAATGTACATGCCAGTAGAGGAAACAAAGCATCTAATTAATAATAATGCAGCTTACTACCATGGTCACTGACTGCAGCGGAGGAAAACGGAGTGCTGGGAGAACATCACCAGGACAGGTCCCATTCTCTGAGTGATCATCTGGGCTGATAATGAAGGATACATAGGAGCAGTTGGGAGGATGGGAGAGAAGAGTGCCTAAGAGGTGGAGATCTTAAAGAGAAAGAGGCTTTCTTAACCACAAAAATGAAACCCCTGGGGCTTGAGCTCAGAGAGCCAAAAGAAAAGTGGCCCCAAATCACCCGGAGATAGGGAGAGTGGCGGCAGTAATTTGGTCTTGATGCTAGTGACACATGGGAAATCTTTGAGAGTTCTATGAGTGTGATGCATTGAGACACATGTATTTTTAAATGATTACTTTTTTTTATTAGGTGATTACTCTTGAATGTCTCCAAGCTCCTTCCAAAGTCCATTCTCATGTCTAGACAACAACACATCATTTCCCTAACAAGTCACTCCTCCAAACCGTCTAAATTATAGCAAGGGGGAGGGAGAAAAAGGTTTCAAGTTTAATTCTATGTCAAGAGAAAGTCAAGTACTCTGAAAAATAAAATAAAATAAAATAAAATAAGTAGTTTTAAACAGATGGCAGCCACTTCATTATTAAGAAGTGGCCAATAAATGTACTCGACATAAACATACAGACTATAGAGTTTCTAGTTGTTTTTTTTCCTTACAAATAAGTTCTAAATAGACATGTCACTTACGTCGCGTGGCTGTTAGTAGTAAGAGCCACAGAAACTTATTTACATTATAATGTTTAAGACTACATTATGAGCTTAATTGAAGGCTTTGGCGTCGAGGCAGGCAAATTTAGATGTATTGAAATGTCATCCATCCCTTCGCACATGTTTTTTGTTTTGGGGTTCTCCCCTCCCCCTCAATCAACTAGAAGCTGACTTCTTGAGTGCATTTCTGGTTTAAGGAATAAAATGTCTTCTACGTGATAACTTTCTTGACTGCTGACTTGAGAGATGCCCCAGCAAGGGTGGGACCCCAAAGCCATCTCCAAAGCTGGGGGCCCGAGGGTAACTTTCCCGCCCTCTCCATCACCCCAACTCCCCGGGACTCGAGGAGCCGCCGCCTCCTCCTCCTCCGCCCCCCACCCCGGGGCCGGGCCAGACCCGCGGGGCCGGGGCTGCAGCCGCCGCCTCCAAACCCCTGCCCCTCGGCCGGCCGGGGTGGGTGGACCCGGGCGGGAAGTGAGGATCGGGCGCAAAGGCGTTCATTACCTGGGGCCGGAGCCCGGCAACGGGGGACCTCGGCACGGAAGGCAGTCCCGGGAGGTCGTCGGAGCGCGGCCGACAGGAAGGTTGGCAGGAAGGTCGGCTCAGGGTGTCCGAGGCCGGAGACGCCGCCAGCCCAGCCGCAGACGGAGAAAAAGCGCCCCGACCGCCGGCCCCTCCGCCCCCAGCCTCGGGGCCCGCTACGCAGCGTCACGCGCACGGCCCGCGCCGGCTCCGGATTTCATTGGTGGCCCGGCGGCCAGAAGGCCCCGCCCACCGCCCGCGGCGGCCCCGCCCCCTTCCGCGCGTGTCTGCCGCGCGAGAGCCCCCCGCTGGCCCCGTCGGGGTGCGCGGGGAGCTGGGCTCCGGCAGGTCGCGGCGGCGGCGGCGGCGGGGCGGCAGCTTGCTTTTCGTTTCTGCCCTAGCGACCCGATGTGCGGCAGGTATGGGACACCGACACAACTTCCTGCGAGTCCGAAGAGGCACCCCCCCGCGCGACCCGTGCCTCTTCTGGGGACTCGCGGAAGCCGCTTCTAAAAACTGAGGATGGTTGCAGTTCGCGCTGACTCTCCAGGAACCAAATGGAAGCGCTAGTCAGAGGCGTTTGTGGTGGGATGCTTCTTGGTCAACCACACGGGACTCTAGGTGACCCTCAGCACCGTGCGAACTAGGTGAAGAGACAGTGAAATGATGGGCAATTATGTCATCAAAAGGGGGCTTCATAACCACAGGAAAGAAGTGATGCAGAGAGAGGTTTAGGATGTAGATTCGCTAGGAAAGTTAATTGCTTAGGGCTTATGAAGGTGAAGGTGTTAGGTGAATTTAAAGTAAAGGAGGTGAAAAGGGAATGAGAGCAGCCGGGACTGAAGGGTCACAGTCACAGCCTGCAAACCAGCACAAGCTAGCCTCGCCTGCCTAAGTCACTCCGACCCTTTTCCAAACAGATAGGGTCAGGCTGCCCTGAGCAGATGGATCAGGTTTATCTGAACTGACTACCCTCTGTGTCCCTTTTATAACAGAGAGGATGGACAACTACCTGTCCACCCAGAGCAGGCAGCACTTCACGCCAACACAGAAGTTGCATCAGCATCCAGTCCAATTCAGTACTGCCTACCCAGTTTGCCTCTTTTTAAAAAAATATATTTTATTGATTTATTTTTATTGATTGATTTTTTTTTTTTTTTTTTTTTACAGAGGAAGGAAAAGCGATAGAGAGAAACATCAATCAGCTGCCTCCTGCACACACACACACACCCCACTGGGGATGTGCCCGCAACCAAGGTACTTGTCCTTGACCACCGGAATCTGGGATCCTTCAGTCCGAAGGCCAACGCTCTATCCACTGCGCAAACCGGTTAGGGCATCAGTTTGCATCTCGTACAACTGTGATTGCTGCTTCTGCCAACTAGATGACAATAGAGTCTGGTAGATCCCAGTGGCTTTTGTACTTGACCTCTCCCCTCCCATTGACTAAGGAGCAGTAGGAACACAGGAGCTCATTTGCGTTGAGACTATGCTGGCCACTGTAAACACCAAGAAGATTGTGCGTTTCTCTCATTTATTCATTCAAAAAAATAGTTTTGTTATTGGTACAGCAGTGAACAAAACAGAAGCTCCTGCACTTAAAAGCTTAGGTTTCTAGAGCAGAAAACAAATAATGGAACAAGTAAATGAGATTATTGCAGGTGGTAATACGTGTTGGGAAGAAAGCAAAACAGTATGGTCACGGAAGGACTTTTTGAGGAGGTGATCTGAGCTAAGACTTGAATGAGGAGAAAGTTGCCAACAATGCCAACTATGGGAAGACGAACATTCAGGACAGAGGACAGTGAATGTGAATTTAAGGTTCTGATGCTAAGCAAGTTTGGCTTGCTTGAGGAACAGAAGGCCAAGAGGCTTGAAGCACCATGCAGAGGGTAGGAGTTTTAAGTTGGACAGTTAAGCAAGAGCTTAATTGTATTGGATTTTTTTAATTTTAGTTAGGTTTTGTCTTGTTTTATTTTTTTAATCAACTTATTTTGTAGAGAATGACTTGGAGGAGAACAGAAATGGAACAGGGAGAAGCAAGAGAATGATAGGAAATTATTGGACAAGTTGTGAGATAGATGATGGTGACCTGGATTAGTGTCGTTGCTATGGAAATAGAAGTAGAAGAATTTCAAGGCATTTCTTGAGGTGCAAGTGTGAAGAAAGGTAGTAAACAAGGTAACTCCCAGGGTATTAAGTGAATGGGAGAATGGCGATGCCATTTACTTCAAGGAGGAAGACCACTTAATGATTGGAGGGACCTTGAAAGCCTCTGCCCTTACTAAGCCTCTTCCTGCCACTGTCTGAAAATCCTTGGGATAAAGGCTTGGTTAAATTTGAATGTTGCTTCATCATATTAAAAAAAAAAAAAATCACATGTAGCCCTAGCCAGTTTGGCCCAGTGAATAGATGGGCCTGCGGACTGAAGGATCCCGGGTTCGATTCTGGTTGAGGGCATATGCCTAGGCTTCAGGCTTGATCCCCAGTAGGGGGTGGGCAGGAGGCAGCTGATTCTCTCCCATTATTGGTGTTTCTATTTCTCCCTCTCCCTTCCTCTCTGAAATCAATAAAAAATATATTTAAAAAAACTGAAGACACGTGTAATAGTTGCTAGGGATAAAAACATGAATAAGAACAACTGTCTATTGGGGAGATAGGTAATAACTAAACCATTTCAAGACAGTAAGATGTGTTATAATAAAAAAAGAGGAAGCTTGTGCATCAAAGGATCCCTGGTTTGATTCCTGGTAAGGGCACATACCCAGATTGCAGCTTGGTCCTCAGTAGGGGATGTGCTGGAGGCAGCTGATCAATGTTCTTTGTCTCTCTCCCTCTCCATCTCTAAAATCAATTATTAGAAAGGGAAGGGAAGGGAGGGGAGGGGGAGGTGGGGGGAAGGGAGGGGGGATAAAATTGCCTAACAGGGTCATGGTAAGGATTAAATGAGTTAATGACTACAAAGCTCCAAGTGCAGGCACTGGCATATAAAAGTGCTGCACAAATACATTGAAGTTCATCATTATCGTTGACGCTATTATTTTCTGGATACAATGGAAGCAGAAGGAATGACTATCACTCTATGAGAAGAAATGTTGAAATGGAGGAAGGCTTTTTGAACCAGTAGGTGGAAGGACTTTAGTGGGCAGGCAAGGAAGGAGAGAGAATCTAAGCAGAGGAAGAACAAGGTCAAAAGCCAACAAGACTAGAGAGAGGGAGCCAGACCATTGTTGTAAGATACTTGCTGAGAAGTGGAAATACAAGAAGTTGGTGTGGAAGCTTAAGAATTTTGTTGGCAATGCTCAGATAACCTAACTCAGATTTCCATAGTCAGTGGGGAGCCAGTGAAGGTTGTTAAGCTGGGGAAGAGTCATGATTTAGGCAACTAGGCTGGAGGGAGATGTGACTGGAGGTGGAGAGATCAAGAAGGCCATTGCAGGAATAGAGGTGAGAAAGGATAAAGGCCTAACGTAGAGCAGTAGCAAGTGATACGGAAAGAACAGGGCATATTTGGGAGAGATTTGGAGACAATTGATAGAATTTGACACTGTTGGATGTGGAGGTTAAGGATGTACCCTGGATTTCTGGCTTACCAGTCGGGATGGGTGGAATTAACGTTAACTGAGGTAAGAGAATGCATTTGAAGTAAGAAAAGGAGGTAAGGGGTATGAATAAGCTTTACTTGGGTTACCATTTAAGTTGAACTGGTCCACTTCCTACTGAGATATAAAGGAATTGAAGAAGAAGCAATCAAGTTTTGTTTTGGTTTACAATGAAAAAACTTGCACTTTTTTTTTCCTGATTATGTCAATAATGCATATCTCTCGCAGAAAGTAAAATCAAATACAGAAAAGTACAAAGGTAAACGCTATCTAATGTCTTACGATCCAGAGATGCAGCTAAATGTTGACATGGGGAAGGAAAAGGAAAATGGCCTGAGCATGGGGACAGCTTTTTTGCAGAAAGGTGCAGGGAGCTAAGAAGAGAAACAGAACAGGAACCAAACCATGTTTTAAAATACAAACATTTCCATTCTTCAAAGGGCCACATCTCCATTAATGATACCAAACAAGCAATAAGTATTCATCCCAAGTGTGGGTGATTTCCCCATTGGCACTCAAGCTTAGTGAAAACATAGACTCATTTTGGAGAATAAGACAAGGACAATGAAGCAAGAGTGTTAATCAGGGCAACCTAGATCATGGGTAGATCCCAAACAAAATAGAAATCAGGCATCATTCCTTCTCTTAATGATTCAGTTATCGCACATGCTCTGTCATCGCTTGTTTTTCTAAAAATAGAATTCCTTACAAACAAGGCAGAGAGCCATCTCTCCCAGGTAAGAAGGCTGCCCACTTGACTTCATAGATTCTAGTTCTAAAGCAAAATATCTTTTAGGCACTGCAGTAGATGTAATAAGTCCAGATATATATACACACATGAGGAAATATCTTCAAGAGTTCCTGAATCACCACAATTTATTTTTAATCTCACTGAAATTAAGTTGTTGTAAATCTAAAGAAGATTCTGATTGCCAAAACTGGTTTGGATCAGAGGCTAGGCACATGTGTCAAACACAAGGCCCGCGGGCCAAATCCGTCCCGCCAGGCCTTGCAATGTGGCCCACACCGCGCTGTCATCACTGCACTCCGCTGCGTTTCCATCACAATGACAGTTTATGACTGTTCAGTAAACCATTCGGCCCGCGATTTAGGCTGGATTTTAGATTTTGGCCCCTTCTCTGATTGAGTTCGACACCCCTAGGCTAGAGCATCAGCCTGCAGACTGAAAGGTCCCAGGTTCGATTCCCATCAAGGGTATGTACCTTGGTTGCGGGCACATCCCCAGTAGGGGGTGTGCAGGAGGCAGCTGATTGATATTTCTCTCTCATGGATGCTTCTAACTATCACTCTCCCTTCCTCTCTGTAAAAAAATCCATAAAATATGATTTTTAAAAAAGATATTTCACTTTTCTTTAAGTCATATAAAAACTACAGCTTTCACATTTTCTCACTTGGTTGTTATAAATGTTTATTTATACTCTATTTGTGGAGTTAGGAAGGTATAACATATTTGATAGTCTGTTAACTTGATTTATAACTTTTAAAGACTTAAAGATAAGGCATGTGGACCTCAATTTGTTTTTTGTCCTCAGTCACATAAATATTATTGGTGGGCCTACATAC